GAAAAAAGGAAAAAGGTTTTCAAAACAAATCAGAATACAAAGCAAATAAGGTTCATCATTAAAATGTTTGACAAACTAGGAAACAAAGTATAATCAGAAGAGATAAAGAAGGTCACTCCAGCCAGGCACTGGTGGCGCACACTTTTAGTGCCAGCACTCCGGAGGCAGAGGCAGGTAAATCTCTGTGAATTCGAGGTCAGCCTGGTCTACAAGAGCTAGTTCCAGGACAGCCTCTAAAGCCACAGAGAAACCCTGTCTCAAAAAAACAAAAACAAAAAAAAAGCCAGGCGTTGGTGGCGCACACCTTTAGTCCCAGCACTCGGGATCCGCCTGCCTCTGCCTCCTGAGTGTTGGGATTAAAGGTGTGTGCCACCAACACCCGACTCACAAATAATAACTTACAACAAAACTTCTTAAATAATTCTGGACCACAGAAAAGGAAGAATTCCAAATACTTTCCCCCATGAAGTCAGTATTACCCCAACTCTAAAACCTAACAAGAACACAGTAAAAAGAAAATTACAGGATAACCTCCTTGATAAATATACGTGTCAAAGTTCTCAAAACAAAATAAAAACAAACACAAACCCTTACTTATAAATAGAACTCATGAACAAACCATAATAATCCTTTACCTTGTTCAATCTGTCTTCATTCCTGGCATGTAAAGATGGTACTATATACATTAATGAGTAAAAGTATTTCCATAAATTGTCAGGGACAATGATTATACAACATGGTAACAACTGCACACATACATACATACACACACACACACACAAACCATTTTAAAATAATTCAGTTTCCCTTCATGACCAAAAACTTGGAAAGGGATATAAACATTTGATAAACCGGGCATTGGTGGCTCACACCTTTAATCCCAGCACTCCGCGGAGGCAGAGGCAGGCGGATCTCTGTGAGTTCGAGTCCAGCCTGGTCTACAGAGTGAGTTCCAGGACAGCCTCCAAAACAATACGGAGAAACCTGTCTCAAAAAACAAACTAACTAACTAAAGAAACATTTGATAAAGGCTATACGACAGAATTATAGCTGATTCATGCTAAGTGAAAAAAAAAACCTCAAAGCATTCCCATTAGGATCAGGAAGAGACAAAGGTAATCAGTCTCCTCATTAAAATTTGAAATAGTACATGTCTTGGCTGGAGCAGTAAGCCACCACTCTGGGCTTGCTTCTCGTTGGGAGACATGTTCTCACTGTAGCCAAGAATCAACTCAAACTTGAGGCGGTCATCTTGTCTCAGCTTCCTATATCCTGGGATTATAAATGAATCACCAAGATGAATGGCGTCTATGAGAAGAAAAAGGCCTTTAGAACACAAAAACAGAAAGAACTATAGGCTACACAAAGGCCTCAACTGGTGAGGACCAAAAGTGAACTAGACTTTGGATAATAGTAAAAGGAGTTAAGAGTCTGTAGTCTCAGTGATATGGAGGACTAATAACACTGAAAAGTTTCATTTAAAAAAATTAGAGAATTAAAACCTAAGTCCACCCAAATACACCAAGATGATTTTTCTTAAAAATAAAAATAGCTGAATGCACAAATTGAAAAAAGATATCATCTTCAATACATTGTTATAGGAAAATTTTATCTTCTAGTAGAAGGAACATGGAAGTTCAATTCTATCTGTTGTTTGCTATAGTCCTTTTGATATATTGGTTGGTATTGCTGGATTACATTGCAATTTTATTGTTTAAATGTTACCAAAAGCTTTATTAGATTTTCACTATTGATAGAAGAGCTGACACACATGACCAAGTCCTGGAGGGCATTATTATGCAATCTGGGTCTCATAATTAATTCTACAAACAGGCACTGAAGAAGCTATCAATACTGAATTGTATTCTGCCGTCCATTTAAGAAATGATGTAACTGATGGGAGCAGATGCAGTAATCCACAGCCAAGTACTGGGCTGGGCTCCTAGAGTTGAGGCAAGGGAGGAGGGATCATATGAACAAGAGGGATCAAGATCATGATTGGGAAAACCAGAGACAGCTGACCCCAGACAGTGGGAGCTCACAGACTCTGGACTGACAGCTGGGGAACCTGCATTGGACCAAACTAGACCCTCTGAATGTGGGTGATAGTTATGCGGCTTGATCTGTGGGGGTGGGGAGGACAGACCCCTGGCAAGGGAACCAGGACTTAATCCAATGCATGAACCGGCTTATGTTCTTTATGTTGGGACTCCTTACTCAGCCTTGACACAGCTGGGAGGGGTTTGGTCCTGCCTTAACTTGATATGCTAGGCTTTGCTAACTCTCCAAGGGACTCTGAGTGGGGGGATGGGGTAGGATGAGGGATGGGGAGTGGGAGAATGGGAGGGAGGCAGACCTGGGGTTGGTATGAAAAATGAAAAGAATAAAAAAGTGCTCACGAAGATCATAAAGACAGAAAGGGACCATTAGAGGAAGCGTGGATAGCAGAACACCTTAGACATAACTATGGAGATGGGGCAAAGCTGAGGAATAGGAAGGTGTAAGCAGATGAGGGAAAGAAGGGATACAGAAGAGGGACAAATAAGACAGGCTACTCAGAGGGAAAACATAGACAGGTATTTTATAACTTAGTTATAACAAAAAGTTTGAATTGACATTTTCTCCATTGATGGACAACGCATCTCTCCAAAGCCACATGAGAATCCAATGCTGAGTTTATGACACTTCCTCACCATTTGTTGCTCAACGAGGACCCAGGGTCTCCTTTAAAATGTAGGTTAATATCATTGCTCAGGATTGCTAAACAGAACCTGATGGTAAAATCCTATGGCTGAAGAAAGTATCCATTTTAGTCACAAGACATTGAGAAATCAAGCAGGAGATGAGCTGGAAGCTGTTTCCCTCCAGACAGCTTTCAAATGAGGAGAACTTGCTATGCAAGTTGCTGGGAAAGGATGAGCTGTGTATTCAGCGAGATAAAATAACCCACTGGGCAAAATCTATCGTAAAATACTGGGAGGAAAGTCATGATGAGCCAGCCTTTGTTTCTTGGCCTTTTGACCAGCTACACAAACAGGAACGCAATCATATTTTATATGTGTCTGAGTGTATGCTATGTGTTTCTAGTTGCCTTTAGAGTCCAAATGATAGTCTTTAATTCCTGGAAGTTAGGGATCATTGGAAGTACCAAACACGGGTGCTGCATAGTGAACTGGAAGACTTTGGAAGATTAGTTAAATACTCTTAGATGCATAGTTATTTCTCCAGTCTTGATTCCTGAAACCTCATCAAGAGCCTGTGGCTGGGCAGGTTATGTAATACTATTATCTTGATAAATAGTCATGTTAAAATGTCTTGTAAATTCTCATGTTCATACTCAGAAATTAAAGAGTGTGTCTGTTGAGAAGTACTGAAGGAACAGAAGGAAGAAGACGAAAGAGGGGAACTGGGAATTTAAAACACTAAAACTTATTATAGAAATACAGGAAACTGCCAGGCGTTGGTGGCGCACGCCTTTAATCCCAGCACTCGGGAGGCAGAGGCAGGCGGATCTCTGTGAGTTCGAGGCCAGGCTGGACCGACAGCCTCCAAAACAATACAGAGAAACCCTGTCTCGTAAAAACCAAAAAAAAAAAAAAAAAAAAAGCTGCTTTTAAAAATATAATCATTGAAGTACACAGAAATATTAAAAACACACACACAGACTCTATGTAAATATAGGGGCTGGAGAGATAGCACAAAAATGAAAGGTTCTTGTTGTTTTTACCAAGGACTAAAGTTTGACTCCTAGCACTCATCATAGGGCACCAAAACTATATCTGACACTAGTTTCAGGAGGTCCCACACTCTCTTCAGACCCTGGACACTTGGATGCATGTGCATATACTCACACAGAAACAGACACACACTCACACACACAAATAATATAACGAATTCAAAACAATCTATATAAATGTCACTCGGGCCAGGCAGTGATGACCCACACCTTTAATCCTAGCACTTGGGAGGCAGAGGCAGGTGGTTCTCTGTGACTTCCAGGCCAATCTAGCCTACAGAGGGAGTTTTGAGACAAATAGGGCTACACAGAGAAACCCTGTCTCAAAAAGCCAAAAACAAAAAGGTATTTAGATTTTTTTCATGTAAATGTAATTACCAATGAACTAATAGGTTTTTTGAAAACAGAGTTTGCTATGTAAGGGACACAGAAAATATTACAATAAGAAACAATAACTTATCTATTTCACCCACAGACACTGAAAACCCTGAAAGAGAAGTCGGTGCTCTGAGCTACTGAGTCGTCTCTTAGAAGCACCATTTCCTTTTCTTTTCTTTTTCCCCAGATTTCTTATTTGTGTATACACATGATTGTACAAGTACCTGGAGAGGACCAGAATTGTATTCAGAACCTCTAGAACTGAAGCTAAAGTTCATTGAATGTCACCTAATACACATGCTGGAAACCAAGTTAAGGCTCCTGGAAAACAAGCAAATGCTGTTAATCACTGAGCCATTTCTCCAGGCTGCAACCAACTTCTTTAAATGCTGGCTATTGTTGGAACATCCTTTTTCGAAGCCTGTCCATCAAGTGACAGGAATGGCAGACCAGAAAATTATGTCAACATTATTACACAAATCTTTCCTCCAAGACTAAAAACAAAAAGGCAAACACAAAAGTCTTGTATACAAATGGACCAAAGATCAAAATGCTAACATTTTATTGTATTCTTTCATATTATTTTTAAAATATGCTACACAAACTTAAATTCTCTTTGTAATATTTAACTACATGAAAATGTTTTACAAGCTTTATTTCAAATGAAAGTCACATAGTTTTATTTTATTTTTCATTAAATTTTCATTTGGTTGCAACAAGTTCACCTTAAAAGTCCCAAGTGGTATTCAAATGTCCTATTTTGCTGTAATAAACAGACAGCATTAAAGCGTATTTCATCCTGATTTTGCTTATATATTAGGGCTAATATTACAATGTTGCTGGTCATGTGTGTTTCTTTTCACTTCACACTTTGCTTTAGTGCTACATTTATTTACTTCATTTGTGCACACACACACACACACACACACACACACACACATTCAATGGTGTGCATGTGGGACTCGGAAGACAACATTTGGGAATTGGTTCCCTATTTTTACCACATGACTTCCATGGTTAAAACTGAGACCAGGCTGCCCAAAAGAACTTCTACTAACTGAGCCATCTCATGGTCATCTAAATGCTTTTTTTCCTACCTCGCAATAAAGGTAAGTTGACCACACAGAATGCCATGCTGTTTCTAGTTGAGCAAGTTCTTCATTATGAAACTTTGTATGGGTTTGTGATGGTATGTAGGACACAGATGTTGTCACAGATTGCTCACATGGACAAGGATTCTATAGCATGAATTCTTTCGTGCTTGAGGAAATTTCCACAATAGGTGAATTCTTTCCCACAGTGTTTACATATGTAAAGTTTCTCTTTCATAGAATGAATTTTTTTATGAGTGTAATAGGAACTCTGACTGTTGAAGGTTTTTCCACAAGGGTCACATGCAAAATGCTTCTCTGCAGTGTGAGTTTTTTCATGACTGTTACGGGTACTGGAAGTGGCAAAAGTTTTTGTGCAATGTTTACACGTATAAGGCTTCTCTCCAGTATGAATTCTTTCATGACTGTTACGGGCACTTGAAGTGGTGAAGGCTTTTCCACAATGTTTGCATGCATAAGGCTTCTCTCCAGTGTGAATTCTTTCATGCTTGATTAGATCACCAGAAAGAATGAATACTTTCCCACACTTTTTACATAGAAAGGACCTCTTACCGGTATGAATTCTTTCATGGCTGTTTCTGTCACTGGAAGTGGCAAAGGGCTTTCCACAATACTTACATGCATAAGGCTTCTCTCCAGTGTGTATCCTTCTATGGCTGATTAGATAATCAGAGCGACTGAATGCTTTCCCACATGTTTTACATACAAAGGGTTTCTCTCCAGTATGTATTCTTTCATGACTATTACGGTCACTGGAACTGGTGAAGGATTTTCCACAATGTTTACATGCATACGGCTTCTCTCCAGTGTGAATTCTTTCGTGATTCATAAAATGACCCAAACGTTTGAATGCTTTCCCACATTTTTTACATACAAAGGGATTCTCTCCAGTGTGAATCCTTTCACAACTATTATAATCATCGGGACTAGTGAAAGCTTTTCCACAATGCTTACATGAATAAGGCTTCTCTCCACAGTGATTTTTTTCATGAACGTGATCAGCATTGGAAATAGTGAAGACTTTTTCACAATGTTTACATTCATAAGAATTCTCTCCAGTGTGAACTCTTTGGTGCATGAGAAGGTTTTTCAACTGAATAAATCCTTTCCCACATTGCTCACAGGCATAAGGCTCTCCACTGTGAATTCTTTCATGTTTTTGAAAGCATGACAAATATCTAAATGTTTTTCCACACTGTTTGCAAATATAACACTTCTCTACAATATGAATTCGCTCATGACTGATAAGGTGATTTGAATTAACAAAGGCTTCTCCACACTGTTTACACACGAATGGTTTTACTTCAGCATAGACTCTTTCATCTGTCTGTCCATTGGTAGAGTTTGTAAAGGCATTCTCATTGTGCTTATTTCCAGTGTAAGTTCTCTCCTGATGCTGATCATAATGGAGACTCCCACAAGCTGGAGTGCATTGACTTTCATAGGATTGCTCTCTAGAACTTTCATGTACCTGAAATGACCCAGAATGACCCACGTCTTCCCAACATTTCTCATGTTTAAAAGCATTCTCCACAGGTTCCTTACACTCAGGTAGTTTCTCTTTAGTTTGATCACTGAGATGAACATCTGAGGGTAAATTATCAATGACGTTTCTTACACACAAACTGCTTTCATATAATGTTACAGCAGGAAGCATGTCCTCATTAACAATATGTGCTGGAATCTGTTGCTGGGTTTCTTCACACTGATTCTCATGTTCATATTCACCATCTTTCTCAACCACCTGAGTTCTGGAAAAAAAAAAAAGACAAGAAGAACATTACTGGAATTGGAAATAGTGAAGGCATTTTCATAATGTTTACATTAGTAAGATTGCTCTGCAGTGTGAACTCTATTTTTTTTTTTTTTTTTTTTTTTTGGTTTTTCGAGACAGGGTTTCTCTGTGGCTTTGGAGGCTGTCCTGGAACTCACTTTGTAGACCAGGCTGGCCTCGAACTCACAGAGATCCGCCTGCCTCTGCCTCCCAAGTGCTGGGATTAAAGGCGTGCGCCACCAACGCCTGGCTCAGTGTGAACTCTTGAGTGTATAAAAGGTGTTTCCAATAAATAATGAATACTTTGGTGCATGAGAAGCTATTAGTGCTGGTATATCTTTTATCAGGCAAAGAAATTGTTGGTGACTGACTTCAGTGGTCCACTAGAGTTATAGTTACAGAGCAGAATCTGGGCTGTGGATGGAGAATATGGAGAGAAGTTTTTGAAAGCATGACAAATATCTAAGTGTTTTTCCACACTGTTTGCACTTCTTCCTCTTCCAGAAGACCAAAGTCCAGCATCCCTGTGGGTGGGTTCACAGTGGCATATGGTTTCAGCTTGAAGGAACCTATAGCCCTCATCTGGCTCTATAAATCCTTCTCATGCACGTGTGGCATACACTCACATGAAACCAAGCATACACATAAACTAAAATGACTTATGAACATAAAAGGAGAGAATTTTCAGCCAAGGTCCTGGTGTTCGTATAAAATAACAATCACATGACATTAGGAAATATGACTCCACTTAGCCATTTGAAATATATAACATGTGCTGTTAGATTTTTATCAACATGACACAAGATAGAGCCACCTGAGAAGCTGGAACTTCAAATGAGACAATGGCTCCATCAGATTGGCCTGTAGGTAACACTATAGGGGTGCTTTCTTGACTAATAAGTTATTTGGGAGGGCCTAGCTTACTGTGATTGGTGCCTCCGCTGGGCAAGTGGGCCTGGGTTGTATAAAAGCTAGCAAGCACCCAGTAAGCCGTGCTCCTCCATGGTCTCTGCTTCCAGGTACCTGCCAAGCTTATGCTCTTGGCCTGGCTTCCCTTGATGATAGATAGACATTGACATTGATAGATAGCCAAAATAAACCCTTGCCTTCCCAAGATGCTTTTGGTCATGGTATTTACCACAGGACTATAAAGCAAACTAAAAGAGAAATTGGTACCACGTCCATCAGGTATTGCTGTTCAGATCTGACCATATTATTTTTGGAAGGACTGTGTTGGAGCTTAGATTAGAACTTTCAACCGGAAAGGCCAGAGAGTGCTCAAAGTTTAATGATCTGTTTTGGCAGCTTAGACTATAACAATGAGCAATGCAGACAATGAAAGCCTGCCTTGTTAAGTTTCTAAAGGAAGTCTGAGGGTGACCTGGCTGCAACTCACATCACCCCCTTGATAACCAGGTTTGATTTGGTTGATGTGGCTGGTGAGGGGGTGTCCCCTTTCACCCTCACATCTCCAAGAGTATCCCTGCTAAAGCTGTGTGCTTTGTCAAAGAGGATGACCTTCCCCGAATAGAGGAAAGCCGGTCTTATGCTAAGGGTATATGAGGTAGCTGTGCTCCCATGCTATAACATCCAAGCAAACTCGCAAAGGGATGCTTAAGAGAACCCCAAAGACTCTAACCCGGTGGTTTAAGAGATAGTGTGTTTAAGAGACTATGCTTTCTGGTCGGCTGGGGCTGAAGAATCAGCTAGATAAACAACCAGCATTGAGGTGAAATCGTCAGAGATTTCAGTCAGCAAAAGATTGTAGTGTGTAAGATTCTGTCAGGTGGTATTGACTTAGGCATCACAAGAACTACGGGAATGAAGGGGTCATGGAGAGAAGCTGAGGCAGGGTACGGTGGAAGGCCAGGAGAGGTCACTGCTGGGTGTTGGTGGTGCATACCTTTAATCTCAGCACTTGTGAGGCAGAGGCAGGAGGATCTCTGTGAGTTCGAGGACAGCCTGGTCTACAGAGTGAGCTCTAGGCGAGGCTCCAAAACAATACAGAGAAACCCTGTCTTGGAAAAAAAAAATGGGATTCCTAAAGTTATGCTCTGATTTATATTACAATATTACCATGAGATCATGAGGGCAATTAAGAAAGGAAAAGGTACTGTGTGATCATGGCGAATCTGTATGTCATGATGACAAGGAGTCAGTTGTGCTGCTTAGGTTTTTTTTTTTTTCCAACTTGACACAAGCTACAGTCATTTGAGAAGAGGGAGTCTCAATTGAGAAAATGGTTCCATTAGATTTGCCTATAGGCAAGTCTGTGGGGGTATTTTCTTGAGTAATAATTGATGTGTGAGGGCCTAGCCTACTGTGGGTACCACCTATGAGCACATGGGCCTGAGTTCTCTAAGAAATGAAGCTGAGTAAATCTTAAGGAGCAACCCAGTAAATAGTGTTCTTCTATAATCCCTGTTACGGTACCAGGCTTCAGGTCCCTGACCAGCATGGGTTCCTGCCTCAACATCCATGATAAGGGACTGTGATATAGACAGGACAGGACCCAGAATAAGCCCTTGTTATCTAACGTTGTCTTTTGTCCTGGTGTTTATCTTGGCAATAAAAAGGAAATTAAAAACAGCTATCCTGAGGTTAGTGAGGTGACTCATAAGTTAAAGAGGACTAAATCAAAATATGTTTGATTCCCAGCAACTCCACCACATGGTGGTTCACCACTGTCTGTTAACTACAATCCCAGGGGATGGGGAATCTTCTGCCCTCTTCTGGCCTCCAAAAGTACTACATGAATGTGGTATACAAACATACATGCAAACAAAGCATACATTAAAAAAAACCAAATAATTATAAAACCGAGATAACAACAAAACAGGTCTTATATATAAAGCTCTAAGGAAAACACCATAAAAATATACATCAAATACTTCTGAGAATGAGGTGACTTTTTTTTTTTTATTTTCAAGACAGGGTTTCTCTGTATTGTTTTGGAGGCTGTCCTGGAACTCTCTCTGTAGACCAGGCTGGCCTTGAACTTACAGAGATCCGCCTGCCTCTGCCTCCCAAGTGCTGGGATTAAAGGCATGCACCACCAACGCCCAGCTAGAATGAGATGGCTTTTTATGTAATGGACCGCTGAAAATTTTCTTACATAGATAAATGTAGCATCACATTTTGATGACATTCAGAAATTACAGAGACAGGATGTTCAAATTCTGAATGGCTGCATCCAATGGAGTTTTATAAACATATCTTAGAATTAATTTATACTTCTATATAGTTAGATAATTTACTAGGTTCTCAGCTGTCCTATCATTCCCAAATGTTTGATGTAAATTTCTCTCTCGAGTATAAATTACCCCAGATTTCTCCTGAGATTCTGGTAGTCCTCTTCAATGTTTTCTTCTTGTGTTTTCTCTAGAAGTAAATCCAAAGAAATCATTATGACACAGTCACCATTATAAAAATTTATTATATTCTAAATCTTATGAGACCAGACACATTAAATTCACCACATGTTCCCTTTCAATATTTCAAACCCCAAATCACTATACACATAAGCAGGAAACAACTGTCTACGAATAAGCTAAGGAAGCATAGTGTTTACCTATGGAGAGCAGGTTCATAAAGGTCTCCTTCATCACATCTCTGTAGAGCTCCTTTTGGTAAGAGTCCAACAAAGCCCACTCTCCTAGGGTGAAGTTCACAGCCACATCCTCAAAGGTAACGGGCTCCTAAAACAGTGCACATATTAGGATGGGTGGTTTTAACTGCCAGGGTGATCAGATGCAGAATCATCTAGGACATATGCTTCTGAAGACACTTCTAAGTGGTTATACAGATAAAGGTTAACATGAGAAACTAAAGTGATTACACGAATTAATGGATAATTTACTAGGTTCTCAGCTGTCCCATCATCCCCAAATGTTTGATGTAAATTCCTCTCTCGAGTATAAAGTACCCCAGATTTCTCCTGAGGTTCTGGTAGTCCTCTTCAATGTTTTCTCTAGAAGTAAACCCAAAGAAATCATTTTTTGACTTGTGCGCAGCATTACATGAGAGGAAGAAGGAGGCTGAGGAACATACAGCCACTCATCACTCTATTCTTGACTGTGATTTCACGATCTGTTCCACACTACTGCTTTAAGGTTTCCATCACGATTTATTATTGAAACCTTCAACCAGGAGACGAAATAAACTTTTTCTGCCTTAAGTCATTTTTCTCAGAGTAGTTTATCACAGACAGGAACAGACACAAAGAAGAGAGGCGATAAAACTGGTCAGGTTCTCTGGACATGTTCAACTTTTTGTTTTTTCTTGTGAGAGGTAGAAGAATTGTTTTTCTTAAGGCAAGACAGACAGACAGACACACACACACAGAGAAAGAGAGAGACAGAGAGAGAGACAGAGAGACAGAGAGGGAGAGAGAGGGGGGAGAGAGAGAGAGAGAGAGAGAGAGGGAGGGAGGGAGAGAGAGAGAGAGAGAGAGAGAGAGAGAGAGAGAGAGAGAGAGAGAGAGAGAGAGAGAGAGAGAGAGAGAGAGAGGGAGAATCAGCAATCAGCATACTAGAGTACGCAAATCTCAATGGATCGTTTTGGTAGATGTTCTAAAGACAAAAATGATGAAAGAAATACTTAGAGACGAGGCACAGCTCAGAAAGGTTCAGAGGAAAACAAGGACTCAGTCTGGAACTGAGATGGGGACCATTACTTTGCTATCTACATTAAGAACTGGGCCCTGGGCCCAGGAGTGTAAAGGAACTTGCATTTGGAAACAATGAAGTACTTAGGTAAATGAAGAGCGGAAGCAAGCTTACAGCTTTAGACATGACATGATGAGAAAGCAGCGGTGACTGCTATGAGGTTACTTCTAGGCACTGGGACAACAGTGAGGCAGGCAGGCAAGCGCAGGACAAGCTAAGCAGCCTGAGACGTTACTTGGGTTTTGCACCCTGGCCCCTCTGAACAATGCACCCAGCATCCTGTGAGTATTCTTTGATTACCCTGGACCACACCCACTCTCAGGTTTGATGCTTTAAAACATGGCAATGTGTTAGTCCCTCTGGTAACACCTTATTAATCCCTTATATCTATCCAATTACATTTCGAAACACATCTGGTAACAATGAAAAATGGCCTGAAAGTTACGAGCTACTTTGGGGCACAAGTAACATAAGGCAAACTGTGTTCTCAAAATTAATACCTAAGGAAAGTCTTTTTACCATTTTGTTTCTTAGTAAGGCATATGATTAAACTCAGATGCACAATGGAAAAGGACATGCGCAGTGAGCAAAATACAGTGAGTAAAATTACAGAATCCTCTTCATGCTCTACCCCTGAACAGTTAAATCCTCCCTTTCAAAGCCCAAGCAGTAATTGGTGAGCCGACCATGTTCAACTCCACAGTTTGGATGTTTTAGGAAGATTACTGAAGGGAGAGACTGGGAAAGACCTCAGACTAATAGCACTAAAGATAGCAGCAGCAAAGTAGGTCATTTTCAGTGGGCTGTGTTCTGACGCTGCGGGATGGAACCTCCCAACATGTCTGCAGATTCCACACTTGAAATTCATGTACCTTCTGACACTCTCTAATGTTCCTATCACTTCTGTCATTGCATATGCTGGCTACACTGCTGTGACCTCATACTTCTCACAGGGAGTAAGGCCTTGTGATGCGAAAAGGTGATGAGCATAGAAAAAGACTCTCAGTGTGCCTGTTAAGTTTTAAGCTTTGCTACCAATAAGCCTACAATTAGAGGTGGTTATGCCAAGCATGGCAACGCATACCTGCAATCTTGATAGTCATGAGACTAAAGCAGGGGGATCATTCGTTTGAGGCCAGACTGGGCCACAAAATTTTGTCTCAAAGGAGAAAGGAAAAGAAAGACTGGCTCCAAGGGAGGAAAATGTGAAGACTTTTTTTCTTATTTTTTTCAAGGACTTTGGGTGTGTCATTAATTTAACAATTTGTGGTGTAACAGTTTTGTTTTTTAACATAGCCAACCAGTATTATCAACTACCCTTAAAACTGCCTTCATTCTATCCCATAGACTTGGTTATACTGTGGTTTTATTTTTCTTTCATTTAAATTTAGGAAATTAAAGTTTTCTTTCTTCATTTGTTCTTTGTTTATTTAGTGGTATGTTGTTCTGTTTCTATGAGTCTGTAATGTTTTTGTAGTTCCATTGCTGAAAACAATCACCTTTAGTCCGTTTGGTCAAACAGAATATAATTTCTCTATATTTGTAGAGATTCTCTTTGTGTCCTGATATGGTTGAGTTTGAGGAAAAGTTCCATAGGATCCTGAGAAGATTGTGTATTCTTTAGTGTTTGGCTGGATTGTTCTAGTACATGTCTACTAGATCCATTGATTTACGATATAATGCTTCCTAGTTTAGTTGTTTGGTCTAGATGAAGTAGTCAGCTGATAAGAGCAGGTTACTGAAGTCATTCATTACTTCTAATTTTAAATCTAGTGATGTCTTTTACAAAATTGGGTGTACCTGTGTTTGGTGTGTGTGTTTAGTATTGTAATTCCCTCTTGGTGAATTATTCTTATAGCAAGTATGAAATGACACTATCTCTTTTGACTAGTTTTGAGTCTATTTTATCACATAAACAACAGCTATATCCTCTGTGTGGAAGACAAGTTTAAATTCTTTTACCCTAAGATGGTATCCATCCTTGACGGTAAGGTAGGAACTAAGATTTTTTTTCCCCCTGAGACATAGTTTCTCTGTGTAGCCCTGGCTGTCCTGGATCTATTATGTAGATCAGGCTGGCCTCAAACCCAAAGATCTGCTTGTCTCTGATTCCCAAGTGCTGGGATTAAAAGTGGGTGCCACCACTGCCTGGCAGGAATTAAGACATTAACAGTAAGAGCTATTAATGGTCAGACATAGTGGTGCATGTCTTTAATCCTAGCAGATGGGAGGCAGAAGCAGGTGGATGGAGGCCATTCTAGTCAACATAACGAGTTTCAGGACAGTCAGAGCTACACAGTGAGACACTGTCTCAAAAAGAGAGACATTTTCAGACAAAGTGAGCTAACTAGAAGTCTCTCAGACAAGATGAGCTGCCTAGAGAGGCTCAGACAAACATGTTATGGAGTCTGCTTGGATGCAACATAATTCAAACACCAAGTTAATGCAGAAAACTAGTGTTTACTGTAATCAAGCTGATATTGACCAATCAGGGAAGCAGAACAGACTTGGGAGCTGAACTGTGACCCTGTAGCAGAATGTTACAGGGATTTTAAGCACAAAACCCACAAATATCTGTGCCAAGTTACAGGTACATTTTTAATCAATCAGCATTCAGGGATCAGGAGCTTTCCCAGGAACATTTCTTCTCAGTAGTTGTTTTACTCCTGTGGGTGGGCAGCTTGCCCATCATTCATGCCTCAATTTGCTAACCAGGATGTCAGTTACCCAGGAATGTCTTGGAAAGTTAAACTTTATTTGACCTTTAGTCAAAATGGAAGTTCTATTCAAAATGGATTCACTTTGGTTTCTTTTTACAAGCAGAGCAGCCTGGAAAACGCAGAGAGTAACCAACCTGCTTGGAAAAGGATCAAACCAGTTGAGCTGCTGAGCTGCCTACAGGCTGTGCAAGGTTCTCTGGGTGACCAGCATTCTTGAGCTGTCACCCATGCTAAGGGTGGCTTGGTGATGCATCTGTCTTTGATTCATTTCTGACCCTGTAAGTAACTCTTAACTTATATTTCTGTAATCACCCCCAATAAAACTCATTAGTTCAACAAGCTGAGTTTTGGTAGTAACCATACTTTAGTCTATTGTTGCTTTCCTGTCTGGCTTGAAAAGATGGTTGGTCGTATCTCCAGTAGAATGCCACACATAACTACATATAAAGTCACAGATTAATTCAAGTGTAGTAATACTCAATGACTTCAATACCCAACTTACCAGTCAACTAATGAACTAGATAAAAAAATCTGTAATTAAATCACCCAATGAGGTGAGCTGTGGTAGGGCATGCCTCTAATCCCAGCACTCAGAAGGCAGAGGCAGGTAGATCTCCATGAATTTTAGGCCACGCTGGTCTACATAGCATGCCAGGTGGAGTTATGTAATTGAGACTGAGTATCAAAAGGCCAATAAACAAACAGAATGAACAACACCATAAAACAAAGGAACCAAGTAAACACACAAAGAATATTCCACTCAAACACAAGAGAATACACACAGTTCTAAGCAACTAATGGAAAGTCTCAATGTGAGGATACAAAGCAAATTTCAACAAATAGAGGGAGCCTGAAATGATGTCTTGTATTCTATCTGATCACAATGCAGTAAGACCGAAGCCAATAGCAAGAGGAATTACAGAAAGTCTACAAACTTAGAGAGGTTAAATAACACACTATTGAGTGATGAGTGTGTCGTTGAGGAAATAAAGGTGATCGAGTCCTTCCTGGAATTAAGTGAAAATGAAGACACAATGTGAGAAAACACAATGAAGACAGTACTAAGAGGAACATTTATAACTAATTTTCCTATGTTTTTCCCCTCCCCTTCATTTTCCTATGTTAACAAAATCATACAAGAATGGCTGGTCAGTGGTGGTGCACACCTTTAATCTCAGCACTTGGGAGGCAGGGGCAGGAGGATCTCTGAGCTCGAGGCCAGCCTGGTCTACAGAGCTGAGCTCCAGGGCAGCCAGAGATACACAGTGACACCATGTCCTAAAAAACAAAACAAAACTAACCGAACCAAACAAAATCACAAAGACAACAACAACACAAAAATCAGCCAAGAGGAACTTCTTCTCCCCACTCCTAATTCTTCACTCTGGGGGTCTCAGAGCACAGCGTACTGAAAATGACCTAATTTGACGCTGCTGTTCTCTGTGCTGGTCAGGAAAACCTCCATATCACGAGCTGCCCATCCTAGAAGAGCGCTAGGGGCCCCTAATGTTGGAGCTCAGAGCCTGGGATCCTCCCTCCTACTGCCTCTGATACCTCCTGATGTTTGGGGGGTTGCCCCTGGGTCTCAATGATAAGGAGAATGACTTAAGAATAGTATTAACCACATTATGGTACCCTGTCTACCCTGGTCCACCCAATTCCTACCATGTCACAGAGTACAGTGGATCTTTCTGCACTACCTCTGGCTCAAAGGACTCTTGTCTAAGACTGTGACGACCCCCCCCCCACACACACACACCATGCCATTTACCTCACACTCATACCTTGAGTCCCCCTAATGTCCCAAAGAAAACTCTGGACCTGTGACGTGTCCTCAGGCAGTAGAGTCCCTTAGGCCTGCAAGTTGGAAGTGTGGGATCAGGGCTCTTTTCTGCTCAGACGTGAGCCTACCAGGTAGCAGAAGCTCACTTGTCCCCTCCCATCCTGCTCGCCACAGGTGAGGACCCCTCCCCATCTCCAGCAAGTTTTCTACTGCCCTCCACAAACATCCTGGCATATGCGCTCTCTCTCTCTCTCTCTCTCTCTCTCTCTCTCTCTCTCTCTCTCTCTCTCTCTCTCTCTCTCTCTCTCTCTCTACACACACACACACCCTTGAGCAAAATGAAATATATTTTTCCAAAAAAAAAAAAAAAAACAGATCTCAGATGAACAATGTAAAAAGGGACCTTAGGTATTGGCAAACAAGAAACCAAACTCCAAATCACTAAATGGAAGAAGCATCAAAGGTCAAGGCTGAAATTAATAAAACAAAAGTGGAAAGAAAACAACAACAAAACCCCACCAAGGTGGAGAGATGGCACAGAAGAGCATGCGCTGCTTTTGCACGGGCTCTGACTTCATTTCTCAGGCCCAACACAGCGGGTCAGAACCAGCCCAACTCCATTTACTGTGGGGTGGGGGTGCCTAGTGCTTCCTTCTGACTCTGTCCACCTGACAAACATGCTGCATAACCCCCTTTTTTTGCTGGCAAAACTCACTCATATGTAAAACAAACTAAAAAGAAATAAATAAATAGGATCGACAGAATTAAGAGTTGGTGTTTAAAAAGAGAGACATGATTGATAAGCCCTTAGCCAAATTAAAGGAGAGAAAAGACCCCCCCCCGTTAAAAAATTAGAGATGGGAAAGGAGGCATTACAATAGACACCCTAAAATTCGGAGAATCATGATAATATCCTTGGGCATTTTATATCCCAAGGCTGGGTGTTGTGCATCCACCTTTAACTCTAGCACCCGGGAGGCAGAGGCAGGCTGATCTTGGTCAGTGCAAGAACAGCCTTGTCCACACAGCAAGTTCCAGATCAGCAAAAGCTACATAGTAAAACGCTGTCTCGGAAAAAAAAATCCCCAATAATCTAATTAGTACCCATTCAGTGTTTGCCACAAAAGCGGGTTATGCTAAGCCATCAATGACACACCTGACGCTCAGGAACCTAAGCAGACCGTGGAATCTTCCCGTCAGAATTTGGGGGAGAAAATGAGCCACTTTAAAAATGGTATAGCAGGGTTGAGGGTGTGGCTCACTTGGCAGAGTGTTTGCTTACTATAGGGAGGCACTCCCTCCCTCGCTTTCCTCCCCAGCACCACATCAAAGCAAGTGTGGCGACTCATGCCTTGCAACCCCAAAACTTGGGATGTGAACGAAGGAGGATCACAAGTTCAAGGTTATCCACAGCTACGCGTGGAGCTCCAGGACAGAAAAACCGAAAAGTGGAAAATAAAACAAAACAAAAATAAACTCACTTTACAGACCCCTTAGGCTTGGAGACATAGAGCAAAACCAATGCAACCCCAAAGAGATCACAGGCAACAATGAAACAGATCAAAGGCGAGTGTGCAGGGGCGGACAGGCACCAGCGCTCACCCCCCACGTCCCTTCACAGCTCAGCCCGGACTCAGCGTCACCAACCCGCCAGCTCGGCATTGTCTGCAGAGGCGCAGGTTCATCGCGGATTCCCCATGGCAGGTTGGGGACTGCGATGAAGCACTCTTACGGCGACAGTACAGGAGGGGCCTCCCCACTGCCGGCTGCCGGGTGTCAGACTCCACCTCGGGCTGCAGCACAGCGCCAGGGGACCGTCCGATCGGCGGCGCCAGGCTGTACCAAGGCCGCCGCCCATGACTCCCAGAGCCAGAGCGCACTCACCATTTCTCGCTTCGGACGCACGCAGGGGTCCTCTCTGAGGGGCCTGCCGCCAGAATAGGTGACACGGAGGGAAACCAGCTGTCAGACACCTCACAAAAGCTACACGGGATTCAAAAATGGAGCCAGGGGCGGAAACCCCAGAACATTCTTGTTCCTCATTTGACAGCTCCAGTCAGGAAGCAACAGCGTCCCTGATTGGAGAAAGCTGCTGGACCCGCCTTCTTATTCATGAGTAGCAGGACCTACGTCCTTTCCCTTCACGGAAGCAAATAAAAATGATTGATAAAAGCAACACCCAGTCATAACTCAGGTGTTCCCTTTAGAGTAAACCTGAGGGATAATTGCATTTAAAGGGAACACCCTCTGGGATTTTCTAGTGCTCTCAGTGGGCTCCTACTGTTTACTCTACATAAAATAATGCCACAGGTTGACTCTGGACATCCCAGATTCGGTGCTCTAAAGAAAATCCATGACCATAACAGGAAGGACCCCGGGTCAGTGAAAGTACAGTACGAAGAACTAGGACTCGATGTGTCAATGAAGGAATTTGTGATGAATGCGCTTATTGAATGAATGTATAAAATAGAATTACCCGGAAACAATAGTCTACAAAGGATTCAGGAGACAGAGACCTTACTTTGTCCAAGGTCAAGAAGATAACCTACAATATCGAGGGTAAACAAAGTCTCAGGACTCAAGATCACACGCCATGCCGCACAGGAAGTGTCACAGAGGAACATTTCTTGGTGATGAGACAGATACCAAATAAGTTAACCGGGGAGCTTCCTGTGGCTTCTGTAGCTCAGAAACCTCTCCTCCAGCACCTTAACATTCACAAGAGGACTAGGTTTTCCACAGTCAAACTATCAGTGTAAACTATCACAGTCAACGTATGCGATCCAGTGCACAAATACTTTCTCCAGGGCGCAATCTACTAAAATGTGTCATTAAACCTTATCATCACAGATGCACTTCCTGTGAAAGGAAGAGAGGAAATCGAGGACAGGTACTAAAGAGATGACTATAGAAGGAAGGAGAGGTAGCATTAATTGATTAAAAGGCTCACTTTTTGAATGAGTTGCATTTCAATTGGTTTGCATTGCAATGAGAATCTGGGAAAGATCTGAACAAAAAGAAACACTGTAGTTAAATAGCATCATAAAACAAATGGACTCGGGAGGCAGAGGGAGGCGGATCGCTGTGACTTCCAGGCCAGCCTGGTCTACGGAGCTAGTTCCGGGACAACCTTCAAAACAATACAGAGAAACCCTGTCTCAAAAAAAAAAAAAAATGGACCTAATGTATGTCTTCAGGACAGTCTACTCGAATGTAATACATATACATACATATATAATACACACACACACACACACACACATATATATATATATATATATATTCCTCTGAATAGCCCATGGGACATATAGGATCATAAAGTAACTCTCAACAAATAATAAAAACATGAAAGTAAAAACATTATATATTAATTAGTGCTGGCAACTGAACAAAATAATCCACAAGTCATAAAAATCCATGGGACATAATGGTGGCAGTGCTAGAAAGATAGTTTATAGAATTAAGTACCAAAACAACAAAACATTTGAGCTATCTCAGATGAATAGCAATAATGGACCTGAAGGCCTTAGAAAAACAATGACAAGCTGGAGGGTGGTGGAGCACACCTTTAATCCCAGCACTCAGGAAGCAGAGGTATGAGGATTTCTGTGAGTTCGAGACCAGCCTGGTCTACAGAGTGAGTTCCAGGGCAGCCAGGGTGGTTACACAGAGAAACGTCTCAAAAAAAAAAAAAAAAGAAAGAAAGAAAGAAAGAAAGAAAGAACAGAAAAAAGAAAATTAACCACACAGAGACCACAACAATAACAAAAACAATACAAAGAATCAATAAAATGAATATTTGTGTCTTTGAAATTATTAACAATATTGACCAATTGAACTGCTTTACTATTTTTATTATTGCTCTTGTTTACTATTTTTTTGTTTTATCAAGACAGGGCTTCTTTGGGTAGCACTGGCTGTTCTGAAACTCACTCTGTAGAACATGTTTGTCTTGAATAAATGGAAATCTACCTGCCCAGGTGATGTGCTCCTTTTAAGACACTTCTCAAATCTGGGGATCAGTCCCCGACACTTGTTTCCATATGGGAGTCACGCTAGAAAGGAGGTTCCCACTGAGGTCTGCATTACAGATAGGGTCTCACCATGGAGTTTAGGTTATTCTGGAAGTGAATGGATGGGCTAGGCTTTTCTGGAATGCAGTCCTTCTGCTTCCTGACTTCTGAAACTGTAGATGTTTGGTATCATGCCTGGCTTTCGTCTGAGACATCTGAATTTTATAACCTATCAGTTTCCACGGGAGACATTAGGGATTTGGGGCTTTTTTTCTTCTTTTAATACTACATACTGTCACATTGCTGCTCAAAGTATGGTCGTTTCTGTGGATCTTGGTCTGGGAAAAGGTTGGTTTACGAATCCCGGTGAAAATGTGCCTTAACCTGTTTTCTCTTACTCTAATAGAATACAACATGCTGTGTAACATAGCTTGCATCAAGCTAAGCATGACATTTACCAGCACCGGTATGGTGGTTCACAACAGTCGGAGACTACAGTTTCAGGGAATACAACGCTGTCTTCTGGCCACCCAGGGCACCAAGCACACATGAGGTATACGGATGTACATGCAACAAAAACAACCATACTCATGAAGTGAAATAAATAAACCCCAATGTGCATGTGAGTGACGTTATTAGGTTGGTGAATGTCATGGTGTTGAAGGAATTATTTCATGGCCCAGAAAGCAATAGCAGGCATGATGAGGTCACAGTGTTAAAGCATTTGTGTCTTTCTGTTGTCACTTGAGAATGAGCCTTGTAGGTTCTGTCTTAGCAGAGTGATCCTGATAATTGGAAGTATTTACTCTAGTGAATGGAGGCTTTCTTCAAGGCCATGGGAAACGATAAGTTTTTCTCTTTCTTTCTTTCTTTTTTGGTTTTCAAGACAGAGTTTCTCTGTGTACCTTTGGGGGCTGTCCTGGAACTCACTCTGTGGGCCAGGCAGGTCCCAGCTCAGAGATCTGCCTGTTTCTGCTTCCTAAGGGCTGGGATTAAAGGTATGCACCATCGTGTCCTGCTAAGGTTATTGCTTTTAGACTGATGAATTTATGTGTCAAGTTGATAAGGGATAGAAAACCGTTTCCGAACTTCAAGTGATTCTTTTTATGTCTATTTCAGGCATCTGTGTAGGACCTGTATTCCTTTATTGGTGGGTTTTAATTTTCTTGGCAGGAAAGGAATACATTTAAACATAAGATGTGAGAAAGTCATGGGATTTCGCTTCATCACTAATCCTTGGGGATTTCTGTGAAGCACTGACTGTGGTTCCTGCGCTTGAACCTATGTGGCACCTGCTCCTACCCTCAAGTCCTGTGGTTTTGGTTGCTGTTGTTTAGTTTCTCCTTTGGAGAAAGAGATTGGAATGCACCGAGCAAACTTAAGGCGCTACTGTTGTGGAAAAGGCAGATGGGGAATAGTAAATATGCGAGGTAGGAAGCAAATGCACTCAAAATCTCAGAGCACGTTGTTTTACAATGTAGTGAAATCCCAAAACAGAGTTCCTTTATTCCAGAGTGCTAGGATGATATGCTGCTTTTAAAAATTTGTCTTTGTGTTGCTTTTGTTTTTTATTTTGCTTGTCTGTTTTCATTATTTCGAGACACGATTTCTTTGTGTAGTACTGGCTGCCCTGGAACTAGTTGTCTGGTCTAGGCTAACCTCCAGTTTAGAGATCTTCCTCCTTCGTCTCAGGACCGGAGTGATTAAAAATGCCTGCCACCCTGTCCGGCTTCCGTGTTTCATTTTGAGTCGCCCTGAATGGCTTTGAATTCATATTAGTTGGCCTTCTCAAGTGTACTGTCATTACGTGGCGACTTCATTTGAACTTTCCCCAAATGTTTTGATCCTGTAGGCTGACAGGGCGGAGTCAATCAGGAACAGCATTACTAAAAGGAATGAACTGTCCAATGAGGAGCACGGATATTCATAGTGCGCTTCCTGGAAACGTTTGTTTGTTTTCTTTTTTTTTTTCTCCCCCTCCCCTCCCGGTTCGCTTAGGGTAAGGGGATTCTTGTGAGGACTTGTTTGGGCGACTGTGTGTTCTCCTGACTGCAGGCATCTTTGGGCGACATCTAGACACATGAGAAACAGAAATGGTGAGTGCGCCTTGGGCTCTTGGAATCCCGGGTGGCGGTGGCGGACACCAGCTCCTTAGGAGCTACGAGAAGTTTTCCCTGGCCGAGTGTGGCCCAGCAGTGCCTATGCCCACGTGGTCTTGAAGTGTGCCCCTGGCAGACAGCCGCGTCCCCTAGTCTTGTGACCTGGTGAAGCTCTCTTAGGTGAGTCCTTGTGCTGCCGGGGTGGTGATAGTGACCAGACTACCCTGGGGTGACTTAAGTGTGCCGGACGTTTATGTTTATTACGCTTGTGCCTGTAGTTACTTTGATTTTCAATTTATTTTAATTCATACTTAGTATTTAATATATTGTCATTTCTCTCTTGTTTTTGGCGACAGAGGTTTCCCTGTGTAGCCCTTTTGCTCGCTGTGTTGACCAGGCTAGCTTTGGACACATAGATCACCTTCCTTTGGGATTACAGGCTTGCACCACTGTGTAGCTGAGGCTAATCCAGTCCCAAACTTTGATAATCCAACTTGCTCCTCTTCTCTTTCAGGTGCTTGTGTTTGTTTGTTTGTTTGTTGTTGTTTTCCTTTCAAGTCCTAGTGTATTTACCACTTTGTTTGCATGTCACATGCATTGTACTATACTGGAAGCATGCCACCTTCCCCCAAATCTCCTGGAACCTGTCTTCTCCATGGTGTCTACGGACATTCAGTTGAGTCTGGGAACAGATGGGTACGAGTTCAAAGAGAGTATCCATACATACGAGAAGCAGAATTTGACCTTGTGGGCTTGAATTATATACATTTGCCTGAAAGTTTCACTTCAGGCTTCTACATTGCAGATTCAAATTCCAGTGTGTTTATGTGCCACATCTCCATTTTCTGAAAATCAACTGAGGGACATCTAGGCTGATTCTTTTTTATAGCTGGCTGGACTAGAGAAGCAAAGTTCTCGACTATGCATTTATCTCTTGTAGTGTGTGAGCTCTTTTCATTATAGTGATTAGTTCGGAGGATGAATAGCTGGATGAAGTAGTGTTTCTGTTTTTCTCTTTGTGATGCAAGCTCGCCCTGGTTTGCTTGTTAACGTCAGCAGTTTTTAAACTTCCTCTAAAGGTAAGTATTCACTCCTCCACGCGCATTTGGTAAGGTTTGAGGTCTTCAGGCTTTCATGACAAGCTTTCACCTGTTCACCCATATTCCAGCCTCGTGGACAACCTTTTCATTGTTTCGTTACTAAAAACCCAATCAAACCCTTGAAAAATGTATTTTTATTATTGGCTATTTCCTGAACATAAGTGACGTGTTTTAAACGGATCTAGCCCTTATACCCCCGGCACACCTGACTTTTAATTTTCTGTGTGTTTTGTTTTTGTTGTTTATAACCCACTGAGTTCTGTCCAGTGTGTGTGGTCATGGACTGGAGCCTGAGCAACATACAAGTGGCCATATTCTGGATGGAAAGTGACCCCCCCCCCATCGTCAGTTGCCCATAACTTCATAGCTAGGAGTGGCTTTCTGGAGGATTGTTAGGAAAGTAATTTTAAAATGGAGAGGCTTGTGTTAAGGCTCTGCACAGTCTAAGACATGAATTGGAGATGACTCCTCTTCTCTGTTTTGAGAGCCTGGCCAGTTCTCAGGATCGAGAACCGAGAGTGGTTTGTTGTTTTAATTGAGATAGAGACATGCGGACACTCTTCACAACCTTGACATCTGGCCAGTGTCTGGGAGTGGTCGTGCATGCTGGAACGTGTACCTGGATGACTGCCGAGGACTGGGCAATGGACTGCCTTTCTTCATGAGGCTTAAAAGTTTGCCCCAGAATGCGTCCAGCTGCTGCTGTTTCAGCCCAGCAGAAGCATGCAGTCAGACAATGGAAAGCTTGTTCCAGTAATGACTACTGGTGATGATGTGTATTCCTATGTAGTATTTGGTGCTGTATGAAGCTGTTGTCTGTGATGACTACTGGTGATGATGTGTATTCCCAAGTAGTATGCCGGTACTGTATGAAGTTGGTGTCCATGATGACTACAGGTGATGATGTGTATTCCCATGTAGTATTTGGTGCTGTATGAAGCTTGTGTCCGTGATGACTACAGGTGATGATGTGTATTCCCGTGTAGTATTCGGTGCTGTATGAAGAACACTTAGTGGTAAATCCCAGGTGAAGTCTCCTCTCTTAGGGGCTTCCCACTCTATTCCTTTGTTTTCATTAAACCTCCCACCCTATTTCTTTATCTTAATTAAGCTTCCTTGTAGAGTAAATTTCTCTTTAGCAACTAATTTTGTGGCTCATGGAAGTTCTTTCTCGAGGATCGAATCCAAAGTGAAAGTCTGTGCACAATAAAGCGGCTAAAATTACTTGCCCTTACAAGGATCCATCGTTTTCTCCCTCGAGTCTTGACCCATACAGTCATAAGTGTTTTGGGCATTTTAGACTTTGATACAACTATTATAGGACATCTTTGTGCAGCTGAGCTCTTACTCAATGAGAATACTGTTCTTTCCCTTGTGCCTTTATCCATCCACCTTCCTATAAAACTACAGTGTTAGCATTTAACATAGACAGTTATAGTTTATGTAACATGGATTTAGTTAATAAGAAATCAGTTTCTCACTTAATGAAATTGGATGTGCTCTTAAGTAGTAAAATAACAATAATTATTATTTTGTGTTTCTAAGATAAATTTTAACTTATAACATTAAAAAGTAAACCTGATGTCTGCGCCTTCCTCTTTAATGACAAGGTTTTCAAAGTTCTGATCCTGTCCAATTTAAACTAAAGGAAAAAAATTAATTGAAATACCAAGATTTTGGAGTCTGTTCAGCCTGTTCAAAGTCTTTCTGTAATGAGCTTAGGCTCTGTGTCTTTTCCCTCCATGGTTTTCTACTTTAGATTGCTAATGCTAGCAAAATACAAAATAAGTGCTAATCAACAGCCTAGACTAAAATGGAAAACTGATCAAGTATTACTGTCTTTGAAATGATCTTCATTTTACCTATGCAAATATGTATTGTTTACATGTGCCTCTGTTTTTATGTTTTTCCCATTGTACAATTAGCTTATAATCAAGAGCTCATATTAATTAAAACTTCCAGGTTGGCCTAAACTTCTTTTAGCTCCTAGTGTAATTAAAGCTTCTGTTTATGCCGGGCGTTGGTGGCACACGCCTAATCCCAGCACTCAGGAGGCAGAGGCAGGCGGATCTCTGTGAGTTCGAGGCCAGCCTGGTCTACAGAGCTAGTTCCAGGATAGCCTCCAAAACAATACAGAGAAACCCTGTCTCGAAAAACCAAAAAAAAAAAAAAAAAAAAAAAGCTTCTGTTTATAAAAGTTAGATGAAGCATTAGTCAATATCTTATTTGGTTAGTCATCACCTCAGCTCTGCATCTACAAGAAGTCTAAAATGTCCTTTTTTTCAGGACAGAATGGCTTCTCTACAATGGTGCAGTTTCACTGAGATTCTTAAAATGTAAAGATTAATAAAATGACTTAGCCCTGTGATTTCAGAGTTCAAGTAATTAATAATCTTTAAAATTTCCCCAAATATTATGATAATAAATTCTACTAGATGTGTTTGATTTCTAATGAACAAATGAAATCTTCAGTTTATTTAAAAATCTTTCACTGCCAAGCATTAGCCAAGTGTCACACAACTGCTAAATAATATTTTAATAAATGGCTTTTGAAAATGGCTAGGCTGAAGCCTGTAATATCTTTCCATCATACCAAACTCTTACGTTTGCCTATCAGGCCATCTTCTGTTCCGGTGTCAGGACAGACCTAGGGATTCCTTCTACTCCGAATGTATTGGATTTGGCCTAAGGATCTTGAATTAGGAATATCCAGGCCTTATATCTCTTTCATCAATCAAGAATGCTGTTACTTCTCTTCATCAAATGTCCATTGAGGCGCTTAGATATTCAGGAAGCCCCATCATTGCCCTTGGGTTTGAATCCTATGTAGATAGTGAAGTGTGTGGTGTTGGTCCCGTAAGACATTCCCTTCTGCTGATTTTAGGCTCTTAGGAAGCACACTTTGCTCCGTCAGAAGCAGGAAAGGATGAGTGTGTCCTGGGCTCTTGGAATTGTGTGTCGTGCGTTTGTGACATTGCTGAGGCTGTGCTGCTGGGACCTTGATGTTCTCCGTCTGAGGTGCAGTGTGTGCCTTGACGTCCTGCGCTGGCTCTGTCCTTCCCAAAGCACTGGGATTGTGTGCAGAACAGGCAGCTGTGCACTAGGCCTCCGCTCCTGTTCTGTCCCGGGGAAACAGTTTGTCCCAGGCCACTTTCTTCTTGGGGTGAAGAGGCACCGGGAACCGGCACCTCTGCAGAACTTGCAGTACTGCTGGGTGGGCGACACTCAGTCCAGACTGTGGTGTGAAGGCACCTGGGTGGTGTGTGCCACCTTGCTGGTCTCCCTTCAGGTACATCTGTGCTGCTGGGGATTTTTCCTCACGTTAACCTGTGATTTTATGTTTTTCTTAGAACGGAACCAAAAGCCAAACCTGGCGTAAGTTAAACACGGGCTTTATCTTTAGTCCCCCAGTTCCCAACTCCTCATATTGGGAGTGTGTGTTTGTGTATGTGTGTCTGTGTTTGTGTCTGTAGTCTCTCCTTTTAAGAAGGATGGTTGGAGAAGACTGGGTTGTTCCCTCTGTAAGAGTGGAACAAAACTCACAGTCAGAGGAAGGCAATATGATTTTTTTTTTTTTTTTGCGCTGTTTCTGAGGTAAAAGTTGGGATTTTTGCAAAGCTATGTCAGCTTTGTCCTTGGTAATCTCTGTGAAGGGGATCATGGGCTTGGGATTGAATTGCTGTTTATTTGTTTGTTTTACACTAGGCTGTTCCTCCAATTAGAAGAAATTGCATGAGGAGTTACTTAATTACTACTTAATTCTTTATTTCTGGAGGAAATTATTTGGTGAAAAATATATTAGTATTTTCAGTAGTGTTAAATTTCAGGGTGCAGAGTGAAGAGACAAGAGGCTAGAAAGAGGCCAGAATCTGATTTCAACAGACAGCACTGGTCATT